TAGTTATGGTCTCCTAACTATCATTGCTTGACCATTATATCTCAACCACCATCGCCCAACAATATAGATGCATGCCAACTTTGTCTTATGTCGTCACCAATAGTGTCAATTTACGTGATCATCTGTAAGACTGATGCATGTCATCTCTTATACGACAGGTGCATACCATCGATGCCAACACTGACTTCATCGTCTATCGTTGCCAACAACATCAATGCACACTATCATTAATAAGGTCAATGCATACCATCAACACTAACTTTATTTCTTTATGTTAATGTCATGATTACATTGAAATTCTTGATCTCCAGTCTCTACTAATCAAATAAGAATGATCGAACATATCACAAATAATTTCTTGAAGACAATCCCAATGCCTCAAGGCTCCTCCAACAACCGAATAATCTCTTCACACGCCTCCTTTTTGGCTTTTTTTTATCATTTTTCTCATTTTATAATTTTTAGTTAGGATACATTATTCTTATAAAGCATTTTAAGCTATTTTTATTCTTTCACATGTTTATGCTTGTGATCACATATAACTAGCACTTTTTGTATTATTATTGTTATTGTTTTATTTTTTTTAGTACTTTTTGTATTAATGAAGCTAGGCAAGGTCAATATTTCCAAAAACATATATAACCAAAACATGATTAAAAATTTAATTGTGCTAATTTGCAATTAAACTAACTTTAAAGACTAATGATTATCATAAATTAATTTCTATCCTGCATAAATCCACACAAAAACTGACAGAATATTGAATTAGCAAACAACACTTATTATTAAAATATCTCCTTGAATCTTTCATATCCTATGGCTTCTGCATGACTGGCTAATTAATTTTTTTTTTTTTCCTTTTCATTTTCTGCCTTTTACTAAGACCCAAAGACTGCCGGCGATGAGTGACAGTCTTTATTGTTGTTATCGCAAGCCAAACTTGCCATATGGCTTTCGTAGCATGAGTTCATTGTTTTTTCAATCCTTTTTCTTCGTCACAAACTTCTTTGTGTAGGCCATAAAATATTTCAAACTTTTAGATCTGTAATTTATTATTTTTAAATTATTGGAGTGTTTTTAAATTTGAAATAATATTTGAAATATTAAGTATAAATATTTATTAGCCTCCAACAATCTTTATTTTGCACTAAATTAGACCCAAATCTATCACAACATGTCAAGCATTTGCTCAAGGAACCGGTATAGATTCATCCAAGGTTGAGAGAGATACTCACCTAGACAGAGACCAACCTCCTAGGCCACTCGCCATCATCCAAGCAGTTAGGTCATCGCTAACATCCCCCGATCCAAGCACAAGTAGTGCACACTCTCATACAATTCTTAGCTTGTGATTTTCATCAACTCAAACGACCTGCCCCTAGTGCTTAGGGGACAAAGTGTGGCGTCTAAGGACTCAGTGTCGTGTTTAGAGGACTAACCATACATACTTGTTTTTAATTACTCATTATGCCCTAAAAGTGGTAAACTTATTTTGTATGGACACCGGAAGGCGTCTAGAGACCAACAAGAATGCGCCACATCACTTTTTTGCTCAATATTGTTGTGTACCGGGTGACGTGACGCGTTCTGGTTGGCCTTCAGACCATCCGATGTCCGCACATAATAATTTCTTCTAGAACTGAGAGCTACATTAAAGATATAGAGCTACAAAGGCACCCACTAATTTATGTCACATGTAATGTACAACCAATAATGAGAACATGATTCATAATATAATTTTATTTTTAATGTGTTTAGTCTTTTTTACAGTCCTCTAAGTCCTACAAAAAAAGAGCGATAATGCATATTTTAAATTTTTGAATACTTTTCAATTTTCTTAGCATAATTTACAATATTATTTGACTTTCACTCTCCATACTCTATAAAATTATGAAACGGGCATGAATGTTACATGCATCCACAAAAAAAAAAAGTAATGTTCTTCTATAATTAATTCAATCACAAAATTAATAAAGTCAATAATATTATAATTTTAGAATAAGAAAATTTCAAAAAAAAAAATCTCCCAAAAATAAAGATGATTTATTTCTTCGAACAAAATTTTTAGAAGGAATTCGAAAGAACCTGATTATTTTGAAAAGAAATATAAAAATATGAGAAAAAGAGCAGAAATAAGTATGAACATTGCTCAAAATAAAGAAATCAATATACCAAACAAATTATTAGTATTTTTAGGGGATCTTTTTCATCATCATCTCCATATTACCGCATTGAGATGGCACTACTAAATCAATCTCTATCTTTTGCATTAGTTTCTTTAAAAGTTGACAATTGCGATGTTAAATTTGATATCCTTTGTAGTCTAATTTTAGTAAACTAATGAATATTTCAATGAGAGAAATCTTATGACATTCAAAGTTCTTTAATCTTAGTGCAAAATAAAACTAAATCAAACACTTAAAATATATTTGAAAATATCATGATATCATTTGAGGTACCAAATGATCTTTGAATTCTATGTGTTTATTATTAAAATGAGTGTCTTGATGAGATAAGCCCAATGAGTCGAAGATAACTCAATTTTGATATTACGGAAGCACTTAACTGCCTAAGAAAATCTTATATACTTAATGGATTTAAAATGAATTGTTCAATGAAATGTTAGAATTTTAGCTAAATTTTTTAGCTAAAATACTAATTTTAAAAAAATCTATAAATAGATTATCATTCTTTACGTGATGAAGAAGGGTACTAAAACTTTGACTTTAACCTAAAGTTGGAGATAGCTTTGTCTGACAATCAATGTTAATATCTAATGCTGACGACACTTGTCTTTCAATTCTTGTTGCTAGGCTATTATTGTCTGATAAAGATCCGAATTGTCCAATTATTGTTAGGTATTAGTCCTAGATTTAGGTTTGCTTTTGTGTAGCTATTTGTATAGCTGTAGGTGTTGCTTTTGTGCCTATTAATAGGCTTTAGCTTGTATTAGGAAAGCAGCCAAGGAAATAAAGTTTTGAAGCATTTTCGGCTCACGCCCCTCTCCCTCCATCTCTCTCCCTCTCTATCTCTTGCAAGAATTCAAGATCTCCTCAAAAGATCCAACAATTATCATCACCTATTCATTGTCACTCAACTATTGTTGTTCAACTATTAGTGCCTAGCTATACTTATCTAATTATTTTCTCTTGATTATCATTGCCTGATTGCTGTATCATAATCATCATTGCCCAACTGTGCAACAACATCAACTATTGCCATCACCAACAAGATCAATTCATGGAATTGTTAATAGTGTTAAAGCATACCATCTGCAAAAAAATATAGATGCATGCCGAGTCAATAATGCAAACATCCATCATAGGTAATAAGCCAATGCACATCATCAACACCAATATTTATACACACTATTGTCAATTAGTTTAACTCCATATTTATATTAACTTTGATGCCTATCATCCACATCAACCTCAATGCTCTCCTTTGCCAATAAAATTAAAAGACGATGTGGACACAAATGTCAAAAGTATTTCATTGATTACATGGTTGATGCCCTCCTTCGATAGATATTAACATAAAACTTATTGTTGATACCAAGACTTTATAGTCTGTGGAGTATGATCCTCCTTTTTTTAAAGATAATTATCAATCAACCTGCTAATAATCGCTTGATGATAACTTTAATGCCTCAAAACTTTAATGTCTTTTAGCACGAAAGCCATTATTAAAATGTCATGTCCACTTATTGTATCAATATGCTCACTAATTGCGAGAAAGAGCATCCTTTATAACTTACAATACATACTGGTTGAATCATTACACTACACCAGTCTATGCAATTTTTTCACTTTTTGGATTTATACGTAAAAAACCTATATTTTTATAAGCTGTTCTAGACTTTTATGTGTGCCTGCAAGATCTCTATGCATTGCTATGGTGATAACCTCTCTATGCTACAATAAAATTTTCAAGCATACAATAATAATAATTAAATTTATTTTGAGAATAATATAATTTAAAATTTGATTGATTATTTAATTATTAAACTTATTTCAATCAAATTTAATAGCCATAAACTTCATCATAATTAAATTTAGTTCAAAATAGCTTGATTCAAAATTCAGAATTATTAGTATTTTTCCAACAATAAAGAGGCATAAATGACAAATATTAATTAGTGGCCATCATGTCAATTATGGGCATTCTTGATTTTTGGTTGGTATGAAGATAATCACAGAGAGGATGAAATGGATTTTGATGACTATAATCTTTTCTTTTAAAGAGTAAAAAAGAATAAAAAAAAGTTCAAAAAATATATATCTCATAAAAATAATAAAGAATAATCGGTAGTGTCGTTAATGAAAGGAGTAATTTTCTTTTTCTAACAAATTGTATTATTATTATTATTATATTAAAATTATAAATATGAAAATAATTGTTACTCAACCAATAATATTAAAATTAGGTATTTCTAGCTTTAAAAATGAAAATTCAAAATTCAAAATTATTTTATTATTTATTGAAATTACTAAAATTTAAATTTAATAAGCAGAGTCTAATATAAACAAATGGATAAATAATCAAGTAAAAAAAGCTAATAAATATATATTTTTAATTTTATAAATCGATAGATTCCGGGCGTGGGCCAGGGCGATGGGGTTGGGACGTCGCTCTTGCTTCAAATGATTTCAAAAGAAAATTTGAAAAAGCCGTTGGGCCAGCTGTCAGACCGGAAGCCATGGATCTCCGCTGTTAAAGATCAGACGGTCATAAATGTACTCCCAAGACGGATGGCATGTTCGTAATTTTAATGTAATGCTAGCCTTCTTTTATTCAAAAATTGAAAACGGGCGGCAAATGTGCTGTTTCACTAACTATGGTTATCTGAGATGGCCTGCATGGCTGCATCTCATCTTCGTTGGCTTCCCTGCCGTTAGTGTAACCGTGGTTTGCTCGTTTAGCTAAACGGCCTCTACCCAAATAGCCCTCCTCGGTCCTCTATAAAATGACGGAGGGCCTGATGCGGAGTATAGCGGAAGGCGTCTTCGTATACGCCGAACCCTAAGTTCTTCTCTAATCTTCGTCTCTCTTCTCGCGTTCTTCGAGATTTCCCATTTTCGTTTCGAAAATGAGGGAATGCATTTCGATCCACATCGGGCAGGCCGGTATTCAGGTCGGAAATTCTTGCTGGGAGCTTTACTGTCTTGAGCATGGCCTCCAGGTACCTTTTCGTCTTAAGATCGTAGCCATTTCCTTATGATTTTTTAAAATTTTTTTAAGATACCAGGTTTTGTCAATCCTTGTATTAGTCGAGGTCATTTATTTGATTAGATCCGCTAGATCTCCGCTCGATTTTCTGCTTAGATTGTCCAGTTTGGGAAATAAAGCGTTATTTTATTTCTTTTGTTTGAATTATGTGAAGATCTATGCCGATTTGAAGCTGAAGGCCCCGTTCTTGGTCTCAGTTCTTGTATTCATTTCCAAATGATTGGTGTTTTGTTTGAATATGATATATTAACACATATGTTTGCTGATCTTCGTCTTTTAATTTTCTACTGCATTCAAAACTGAGAAGCTGGGTTAATTGCGAAGGTCAACTTATGACGTGTGTTTTAATGCCAGAATTGATATTGTTCTGGAATTGAATTTCCGCGGAATGTCAACTTTAAATTCTGTATGTAGATCCATGGATCATATACGCCTTATATATTCCATCGAGTGCCAATTTTAAATTCTTGGTTTAGATCTATGGAATATATACGGCTAATTGTACATCTTATATCTCTTTGCAATAATGCGTATAAATGCTCTAATTAATTCATAAGATTTTTCTCCCTGTTTGAATGTACAATTATCTGACTGTTACATATGGTGGCTCAATCCCATTCAATTTGTTTACCTAGATCTAGTTGGAACGATTGTTTATTTTCATTCTTATGGCGTAATTCTCACGTAGCGTCGATCAGTTTTTTTTTTTTTTTTTACTTTTTATGTAGCGTCGATCAGTCTGAAGAATCTTCTGTTTTTTAGCTAGGTTTTCTCGACAATCTCAATTATATTTTAGATCTATGACGCTAACATGAATCACCCTGCATATTTTAAATACTTAATTTATTTTAGGCTCTTACGGAAAATTTTGATCACGATTTTCCTCCTGAGTTATCGTTTGATTTGTTAATCCAATTGATCTGATCTTCTCATGCGCGAATCAATAGACTCTTTGTTCATTTTATTAAATTCATGAATCGTGTGGAATATCACTAATGGACGTGACATGTATTTCTCTCAGCCTGATGGCCAGATGCCAAGTGACAAGACAGTCGGCGGAGGCGATGATGCTTTTAACACCTTCTTCAGTGAGACAGGTTCTGGAAAGCATGTCCCTCGTGCTATTTTTGTTGATCTTGAACCCACCGTTATTGATGAGGTGAGGACTGGCACCTACCGCCAACTCTTCCATCCTGAACAGCTTATCAGTGGCAAGGAGGATGCTGCCAACAACTTTGCTCGTGGCCATTATACGAGTACGTTCATTTCCTCAATCTCCTTAGTCTCCATTTGTTTTACTAAATTATTGGAATTTTCATGATCATGTACTAAGCTTCCTAACTTCATGAATGCAGTCGGCAAAGAGATTGTTGATCTGTGTCTGGATCGCATCAGGAAGCTTGCTGATAACTGCACCGGGCTTCAAGGCTTTCTCGTCTTCAATGCTGTTGGTGGAGGCACTGGTTCTGGCCTTGGTTCTCTTCTCCTTGAGAGACTCTCCGTCGATTATGGCAAGAAATCAAAGCTTGGTTTCACTGTTTATCCATCGCCCCAGGTGTCCACATCAGTTGTCGAGCCTTACAACAGTGTCCTCTCAACACACTCCCTTCTAGAGCACACCGATGTATCTGTTCTCCTAGATAATGAAGCTATCTATGACATCTGCAGGCGCTCCCTCGACATTGAGCGCCCTTCATACACTAACCTTAACCGCCTGGTTTCTCAGGTCATTCATAAACTCTTCCGTTTGCCTTACTTTCTTCTCACCCAACAATGTCAAGATGTTGATTCTAATTGAATCTATGATATCTGTGCAGGTGATTTCATCCCTTACTGCTTCACTGAGGTTCGATGGAGCACTTAATGTGGATGTAACTGAGTTTCAGACTAACCTTGTTCCATACCCACGTATTCACTTCATGCTTTCATCATATGCCCCCGTTATCTCAGCTGAGAAGGCCTATCATGAGCAACTCTCTGTTGCTGAAATCACCAACAGTGCCTTTGAGCCATCTTCCATGATGGCCAAGTGTGATCCTCGCCACGGCAAATACATGGCTTGCTGTCTCATGTATCGCGGCGATGTGGTTCCCAAGGATGTGAATGCTGCCGTTGCCACCATCAAGACCAAGCGCACCATCCAGTTTGTTGACTGGTGCCCGACCGGCTTCAAGTGCGGTATCAACTACCAGCCGCCGACTGTTGTTCCTGGCGGCGACCTGGCTAAGGTGCAGAGGGCGGTTTGCATGATATCGAACTCCACAAGTGTTGCAGAGGTGTTCTCTCGCATTGACCATAAGTTTGATCTCATGTATTCGAAGCGCGCCTTTGTGCATTGGTATGTTGGTGAGGGCATGGAGGAAGGAGAGTTCTCCGAGGCTCGTGAGGATCTTGCTGCTCTTGAGAAAGACTATGAGGAAGTAGGTGCTGAATCTACCGAAGGCGATGAGGGTGATGAGGGTGATGATTATTGAGTTTGTGAAGCTCTGCTCGTGGTTTGCTGTTTTGGTGGTGCTTGTTCTAGGTTTTCGTCCCTTTTGATGATGTATTTTGTGTCTAATGAAGCTGTTTATACAGCATTGTCTTCACAACTTAGGTGTGTTTGGATGATGGATATAGTATCCTTTCTTTTGTGGTAAAACTCTCCTCAAGTTTCTCGTGTCTATTGAAGCTGTTTATACAGCATTGTCTTCACAACTTTCGTGTTTGTTTTTCTTATGCTGGCTACTGTGTTATCTGTTATTCACTATTGTTTTTAGTGGCGAACACCTACTTAGCCGGAATAGACCTTTTGGGCATTTTGCCTTTTCAACTCCTATACTGAGCTCCATTTTATTTTGTATTGATTTGCCTTTGCTACCATTTTGCCTTAGTCGGAAGTGATGCATTTTTGAGATAGCTGTTGTTGCTATGTTAGTCGATATGTTGTTCATTTTTGAGACAGCTGTTGTTATATCTTAAAATTTTGAAGTGGCTCCCAATTTTTTTTAAAAGGGTTTAATTGGCATCACTTCAACTCGATATTAATAGTTTTTTGCCTTGAACACATGTTCAACGATCAGCACAATGAATGATAATGTTGAACATAAGTTTCTCCCAAAAGTAGAATTCTAAGTTGGATGCTAAAGTGGAGGAAGGCATTGGGTTTGTTGTGTGATAGAAAAGTATCTCTTAAACTTAATGAAAAATTTTATAAGGTGGTGGTAAGACCTACAATATTTTAGAATGTAAAATGTTAGTCATTAAAAGAGAAGCATACAATTAAGTTTAGTGTAGCTAAGATGAAGATGCTCGGATGAGTGTCTTTACTCTTGGAGATATAATATGAAATTAGTATAACGTGAAAAGGTTGTAGTAGCAATATCGGTAAATAAGATTAGAGAGTTGTCTTAGATGTTTTGGTCATATAAAATGCTAGCATTTTGATGACCCAATGAGTATAATAGATGTATTTGATTTGGCCTATGTTAAAAAAGATCGAGGTAGACTTAAAAAGATTAGATTAGATAATATTAGAAATGGTCATTGGATTTACTCCAACTTTTTCATATATATACTCGTAAATGAAATATAAATTATTATTTGTCTAAAATATTTCGTGGGATATTTGAGTGTTTTTTTTTTCTTAAGCTTCTCTTCCACGCTTCGAGAGTGAGAAGTAATAGTCTCTTGCTTAGTCACAAACAACATCAATTGGTAATTTGCCTTATCTTCTTTAGGAGAGTACAGCCCAGTTGCATTCCAAGTATGAGATATTGCATACAAATGCTTTCTCTATCTAGATGGTGGAGACTTGACCCTTATAAAGATTCAAGATGTTGTTGCTTACTTTCCTACAAAGAAAGCCTTGTTTTGCACATAGTGTCACTCAGTTCAAGTTGAGGATCTCCCTTGCTGATGTGTGTGAGACTATGAAATATCATATACTACCTACGACTTTCAAGAAGACTTGACATTGCAATGACAGTTCTTTGTAGATTTAAAATTGAAATATCGTACTAAGCTTGTGAATGTCAGAAACTCTTACTGAACTTCAAAGTTTCTTGAAAATATGATAAGGGACAAGAGAGAGTCCCTTTGTCACTACATCACACAATGCCATCATCAACTATTGGATGAGCAAGATTTGGTTCCTGTTGTCACTTAGGCAACACTAATTCAGGGCCTCTAAGTTTTTTTGTTATTCGCTCGACTAATAATAGCTTAGAGGTGTCAAAATTGGGTTACGGGTCGGGTTTGGGTCGAACCTGGCATAGACCCGCTACTGTTTGATATGACCTGAACCCGACTCATTTTTACAAACTGGTCAAAAAATGCAACTTGAACAGGACCCACCCCGACTCTAAACACTTGAATGAAAGAACAATGAACCGCGAACTCCCTCTTGTCATGATGTTGTCGTCGTTAATTCTCATCTCAATAAACTAATCCCGTAAATCTGTGGAAGTCGAAACTAAGGATAGGCCGATAAGGTGTAAACCTTCCTCTCGTGAGCGGCGACGAGGGCCGGACTGTCGGAGGGCTTTAATTTGCCAAACTCGGAAGTCCGAAGGCCGTTCACATGCTTATTCAAACAAATCCCATAAATCTGTCGTCCGCTGCCGGAGCGCGAGGGCGAGGCTAAGTCCGAATGTGATGTGACCCGCGCCAGACGAGCGCCGAAGCACGGGCAGGGTTGTTTCCAGGTCAAACCCGGGTTGGTTTTAGGTTTCCGGGTCAACTAGAACCCAACCCGACCCGGTTTTACAAATAGGTTGAAATCACGAACCCGAACCTGACCCGTTTCTAAAATGGGTTGACCCTAACCAATAATTTTTTGGTCGGATCAAATATTGACACCCCTATAGTAGATGAAAATTTTGGCTAAATTATTGGTGTTTGAAAATAATCATCTTAGTGCAAAGGCGTACAATCACGTTCATTAAACTTCTAAACCTCCACATTTTAGACTCATATGGATTCACAATGACATCCCCAAAATTAATCAAATATGTCAATCTAACATTGATACTACCTAATAGAAAAGCTATGTAATCATCACATTTGGTTTCACCACAAGAACTAAAATAATGGCATGGCAATCTATGATCCCTTGAAACTGAAGAAGTTGCCCTAACATTTGAGGTACCCAACATACACACCTCTCTTATCATCACTATTCAAGATATATGGGTAGTATTCAACAAAGTATATTTTAGCAAAAATTGTTGAAGTATATAACACTCGTAGTTTATGGCATGACTAATTACTTTTATAATGATCATCATCACAAATGGAGGATTGTAACCAACTTTGCAAGCTTATTGAAGAACTTGTTTGCATCAATAAGCTTAAAGAAGTCGGTTGACAGAGGTCGGAAGGATCATAGTTGGCGGGCGATGATGCTCAGAAAAACCTTTGTCATGTGATGGAGATCAAAAGGGTCATAGTTGGTGGGCAACAGTGGTCAAAAAGATCATTGTCTGGTGAAAGATGTCAGAATGACCGTAGACGGTTTACAATAATAATTAGAAAGACCGTTGTCATGTGACAGAGGCCAGAATGATCTTTTTCGGGTGAAAGGTGGCCAGAAAGCTCGTAGTTAGGCGACGACTGATGGTCGGGCATAAGTCGGACAATAGTTGGTGGCCGGGAAAAAGTCTGGGATAATTCGTGGCTGGGCGGAATCCTTGCAAAAGTTGATGGCAGGGCGGTGGTCGAGGAAGCGTCTGGTGGCAAAAGAATTCTTTGATTTATCTTCCTTTCCTCTCTACCTTCCCTTCCTTGCTTGGTCCTCCTCAATGAATAATGATGATTCTATTTGTAATTTTTTGGGAGTGGAATGACCACTAGATAAGAAGAAGATCAAGTGCATGTTGGGAGTATTTTGAATGAACAGTCGATATCGACTCTTTTAAGTATTGACTATTTATCAAGTATTTGAGTACATTAATGATATCATAATTCGACGAACTTGGGCTTGTTGGATTTGTCTCGTCAATCCGCTCGATTCTTTTATAAACATGTCATATTTGGAAATCATTTGGTAATCCAATTTATAGTATGAACCTTTCAGATGCGCTTCAGATCTTCGATTTGGACCCAATCAAGCTCAGATTGGGTTGAATTTGGCGTCGTTGGATTCTTCTTTTTGAGATGTTAGTTTGACTATAATTTTGCTGAAATCAAAGTTTGGATGGTCCCGAATTTACTCTTGGAACATTACAATTCAACTTGTCTCGAGACTCGTGCTGTTCAAGATAATTTTTTTGTGATCTATCAAGACTAATATTGATATTCATTTCAACATCCACTTAATTTCTCTCCTTTTTTCTGGCAACCCCTTAGACAAAAATCCATCATAATTTACCCCTCTAAATACATCAGCTATATAGCCTCCTCATGTCCTGTAACTTCCTCTGAAAATTCAACCTCTCACATCTGCCTCACACCCATTATTTTTTTAACACGTAAGTGCTTCTCATGACCCAATCCATAGAGCCACGCTCAACTTTCATACACATCATTTCAAACGCATATCTTGCCTCTAGCCATTCCTTAGATCAACTTTCCTTAGTCTCTCCACAACTCTTCATCTCTCTACACCTTTTGAGATTTCTCATAAAAGTGATGGGAAAGTGATGGAGCCCAATCTCCATGCCTATATATATATATATATATATATTCTGCTTTCTAGTAAAAAAAATAGTTTAAAAATTTTGTATATTAAAAAATTATTTTAAGAAGTATTAGCAAGTCGTCCCAAATGAGGCCTATGTCTAAGGCAGCTTTCTTACTGTTTTTTTTAAGCGGCTTTTTAATAAAAAATGAAAATTTTTATATTAAAAAACTGCTTTAAGAAACAATAAATAAAATTATCTAAAGCGAAGCATAATTCATTTAAAATATCTATTAACCTAAGAAGCGAATCGAACACGAATTTGCTGAAGTGGGCCAGTATTCTCTTTTCTTGGATCGAGGCTTACAGGCCTAGACTAAAGCCCATTTAAGATTCCTTTTTATTAAGAAAAAAAAATGAGAGGTTTTAGGATATCTAAAAACATATTTTTATAAAAAATAGTTCCGAACAAATAAAAGTATAAAACTCATAAAACATTGCATGAATATTTCTTCAATAAAATGATTCAAAACTCTCAAATCATTTTGAAACTCAAAGCTTAAATCCTTCACAAAAACACTCATAAAACATTTGGAAACTTTTGCTTGGATGAGGAAGATGAATGACCAAAACAAGCTAAACAAAGAATATTATACCTCATAAAATTTTGTTGGCATGAAGAAGAAGGCGAACAATCTAAAAAACCCATATTGGAGAGCTGACCGCTAGTTGCCTTCAGGATTTGCCACTTTTTCGAGCGGCTTGACGAGTACTCGAGCCAAATTTTATTTTGATCAAACTCAAGCTCGATAAGCCAACCAGCTTGAAAAATTGCTTGAACTTGAACACGAAACCTTGATAAACTCGCCTGCAAGCTCATTAATGAGTTGAATTCATGAATGTTGTACAAACGATGTTGCTTTTTAGATAAAATCACCAAAATTTTATTTTATTGTTTTATGTTCCTTGTCCATAAGCGGTGGATTGCGACTCCGAAATTTCCCATGCGTGCTGACCTTATAATTTTATATTTTTTTTTAATCAGACGCATCCCCTTTGTCATAGTTTTCCTTGCCGCGTATCATCATTTCTGGAAAAAATAGCGATCCTTATTTGGT